TGGTGCCAGGATTTAAACCTGGGCCTCTGCCTCAACGCCTGTGGCTTAAGTGGCCCACCAGGCCCACCCAACAACAATGATGGCTGCAACCAAAAAACAGCCAGGCATTGTGGTCCCAGCTACTTAGGAGGCTGAGGCAGGAGACTCGCTTGAGCCCAGGAGTTGGAGGTTGCTGTGAGCTGTGATGCCATGGCACTCTACCCAGGGAGACAGCTTGAGGCTCTGTCTCAAAATAAATAAATAAATAAACCTGGGCCTCTGGCTTGGCACCTGTACCTCAGTGAGTTGGGTGCCAGCCACATACACCGAGGCTGGCAGGTTTGAGCCCAGCCGGGACCTGCTAAACTATAATGAACTTGAAAATTCTCTCTAACATGCCTGTTCCTGAAAACTCCATACTCAAGAGATTATTTTCCATGTTTGCTTTTGGCCTTTGCCACATGCAGGTATGTTTTTGTATAGTTGTAATCATAATACACGTATCATTTGTATCCTGTTTAGTTTACATTTAATTTTGTAGTTTAATCACGTTTCCATGTTATTACATGGGTTTATATTTCTGAAATTAAACATTTTTCTAATGTAAAGGTAATATAAGCATACTGGTTGAAAATATGAAAAATTACCCATAATTTTACCATTTACCAGTTTAACTACAATTAATGTTTTATAGTATTATTTCTACTATAACCTTTTGTTATGTCTGTGTATATCTCTGTATATTTATATATAAATAAATATACATAAATCTAGATTAACTATATGTATACATCCATATAAAGAGAATAAATAGCCATACTGTGGGCTGAGTGCAGTGACTGATGCCTATAATCCTAGCACTCTGGGAGGCCAAGGTGAGTGGATGGCTTGAGCTCAGCTGTTCAAGACCAGCCTGAGCAAGAGAGAGACCCTGTCTCTATTAAAAATAGAAAAACTAGGCTTGGCGCCTGCTCAAGTGGCTAAGGCACCAGCCACATACACCTGAGCTGGTAGGTTCAAATCCAGCCCAGGCCCACCACCAAACAATAATGATGGCTACAACCAAAATATAGCTAGGCATTGTGGTGGGCACCTGTAGTCCCAGCTACTTGGGAGGTAGAGGCAGGAGACTTGCTTGAGCCCAGGAGTTGGAGGTTGCTGTGAGCTGTGATGTCACAGTGCTCCACCCAGGGCAAGAGCTTGAGGCTCTGTCTCAAAAAAAAAAAAAAAATAGAAAAACTAGCTAGGTGTTGTGGTTGGGTGCCTGTATGCCCAACTAGTTGGGAGGCTGAAACAAGAAGATCACTTGAGCCCAAGAGTTTGAGGTTGCTGTGAGCTATGATACCATGGAACCCAACCCCAGGATGACTGAGTGAGACTGTCTCCAAAAAAAAAAAAAAAAGCTTTATGGCTTTTTTTTCCAGCCTTACTGTTTTTTATAAAAACAATACATACTCATTATGAATAATTCCAGTTCAAGTAACACAAAAGGTACCCAAATCCTCCCACCAAGATAAAAACACTATTAATATGTTGGTAGCATTTCAAAATACCAGTATCTTTTTGGATATGATTCTTTTCATCTTTCTTTTCATTTTATATATCATTTAGATCCCTCCCTTTTTTTTGAGACACAGTCTCACTCTGTCACCCTGAATAGAGTGTCGTGGTGTCATACATAGCTCATAGGAACTTCAAACTCTTGGGCTCAAGCAGTACTCCTGACTCAGCCTCCCAAGTACCTGAGACTATAGGTGCCCACCACCATACCCAGCTAGTTTTCTATTTTTTTTTTTTTT